TTTTACGCGAGAAGAACAGGTGATAATTTGGCAAGTTTGCCCGCATATACTGTGATATAGTACTTGACTGAATGGGCTGTTCAATGTCTCCTGAGAGTCTCTTCCCAACAATACATGCGCCATGCGGTAGGCTTTGGACGTGGCCCGCGCTGGAATACAAGGTGAGGGACGGAGCAGACTGTTCCCATAGGGTGTTGAGGGGCCACTCCGTCTTCAAGGATAGACCTTTATCCAGGTTGCATACAAGGATGTTAAAGGTAAGCCAGGGATACTAAAGGTAAAGGCCAATAGATGGAAGTAGTCAAAGAGACACGTGATGACACGTGTTTTGTTTCAATTTCTTGTGAAGCGCCTGGTGCATCAAGGTGGCTCTTCGTCAGCCTCAGTTGAAGGAGAGGCCTGAGATGTTGATGGCCCTCCTCAAGGAGAAGGTGGGACATGCAGACGAGTGGTTGGACTGTGGTGCCATTTCCCCATCGGAGCCCAGGCTGACGTGGTCGGGCTGACAAGCACTGAATTGCTGAGCATGGAAAACACACTCCTGCGCAGGTGGATGAAGGATGGGATGCACCTCTGACAGGTTTACATCGCACATCGCGCTATGATACGGTGTGATACGGTGTGTGATAAGGTGTGATGCGCGCGTGAAGCAGGGCTTTCACGGATGCGGAAGAGCGTTGATGACGAAGTTGGAGTGTTTTGGTGCGGTGAGTGAAGCTGAAGCTTCCCATGGACCACCATACTAGTGGGGCTGCTTGAGCATGAACGTTTCGTGGCACCCGCGAATTATGGCAGGTTGAGCAGGGCTTGCTGGCCGAAGGAGCTCTAGATGATTGGGGTGGTCGCAGGGTCCCCAGCTGCTGGGGTGCTTCTTCTCTGCATTGGACACACTGAGGGTGTCACTGTCGTTGGAAAAGCCGTTTGCATCTTGTTGGGGTAGTGGTACTCCGCTCTGCAGCGAAAAGAAAGCAGTCCAAGAATTTCCAGTAGACTCAACGCTGGTGACAGCGGATCCCTAGACAACGCTGGCCCGACTTGGCGGCCTAAAGGTCGCTGGGTGCAGAAGTCCAACTCCTCTGCATAGCTGATTTCAGCTGAATAGCAGAATGACCATCAAAACATATCAAAACGGTCCCAGGTAAACCACCACCTTTGCCGAACATCCCTGACAAATGAACCAAGACCGAAGACCGCATCAGACCGAAGACCGAAGACCGAATGCGGTGAGGCATCGACGGCTTCAGCATGGGCGACCTCGTGAGCCTTGTGGAGCGGACCTGTGTGGAGGTCGGAGCATCCGTTGGAAGAAGGAGCATCCGTTGGGACATGCCGGTTCGACGGTGCTGGTAGACCGTGATGGTTTTGAGTGGCCCTTGTGAATCGGTCACTTGAAACTAGTAGAATCGGTGGGGTGTTCACTTGAAGACACCCTGGGAATCAATGTGAGCCTTCAAATTTACTTCTTAAGGGAGAGAAACAGACTCTTCACCTCTTCACTGCTTGGGCTAGCCTCACGGGTTCCATATTTCTTAGGCAACGAGCCCATTCTGAACACACAGGGGGATGCCACAGAATTTTGTTCATCAGCATGGGTTTGCATCAAAGAGTACTGACATCATTATGTTTGTTCCGTATCCTGGCCCTTGGCACTCATGTCGGTTTTCTGTCGAAAGGATCTGAAGAATTCTCCGGAATCTGTTGACCCCATATGACGTCCAGATGACGCCCATGGATCTTCAACGGCTCAACGACCCCACCCCGGGCGCAGAGAGCGGGCGGCCGACCAAACGCCGAGGCGACCGTGGATGCCAGTGCGCAGCGGCTCTGCGGGGGCGATGGCCGTGGGCCAGAGTCGCTGGGCCCGGAGAGAAGAACTCGGGACACAAAACCAAGAAGGTCAAGAAACGAAACCATAGGGACAGTGAGATTGTTCAATGTTATTCAACGATCGTTTTTATATATATTGTTTTTTCTTATTTGTTAAGAGTAAGTCTATATATATTCTTTTCAAGCACAGTTCTAGAGACTGATGCAGGATAGGCATTTGGAAAGTATCATAGAGCCTGCAAAGGATCCAATTTGACAATTTTGGTCTACACGACCAGTGGTGTACTGGACATTCACACCAGGTTGTGTGCAGCGGCATTGTTGTTGCCGACATGAAAAAGAATTAAGAACCCGGTTGTTAAGGACAAATCGTGCAGGAGAAGCTTCTCCCCTTTTTTTGCTTGGAAGCTTCTTCCTTCTCCCCTTCTCCGAACTGATTGGAAGCTTCTCCCCTTCGTGAGACAAATCGTGGCTTCATATCTTCCACGACCCCTTCGGTGCCTGAAACACACACCTAGGTGGGGCGAACGCCAGCGCATCACACTTCAGCACTTGGAGACCGCCTGTGAGGTCCACCAGCGTGGTTTTTGGAAAGACAGGATCAAACAACTCCTTGGCGGTGGATGCTGTGGTCAAGGATGTTAAATTCGTTGAATTCGTGTTGACCGACTTCCCAGGGTCTCACGAGTCGGTCCTTTTAGAGATGTCTCATTACTGGACTGACCTCATTTCTCTGCGGGAATTTTGCTGGAGCGGAGCTTCTGTGGGATTCAGCCAGCTTCCGAATCTTTGTGCGTCTGAGGGCTTTGTGCCAGCCACCATGGCAGAGCAAAGCTTTTTCACCTCGGAGCGGCTCACCGGCGGGGCGGTTTTGGAGAGGTTTTCGGGATGGAAGTGACAGGCCACGATGGTTGGTGGAGACTGATGGAACCAGAAAGCCTGTTTGCATCTGTTTTCAGTGGCTCCTATATAATCTCATGGACAGGTGTGTTGGACTACGTAGTTGGACAACTCGTGCATGTCAGATGAGTGCAGATGTCACACCACCCTTAGCAACAGCAACTATAAGTTTCGTCATGAATCTCACGTACCAATCTACATTACCATTTCTTTGCCATTGAATTCATTGAATTGTTATTTGCCCTCGCTTTGCGCATTCAGATTGGCAGGACGGCCCTTTTTTCAAAACTTGAGACCAACAGTTCCGCATTGGACATGAAGCATGCTTGGGGAGGGTGGTTCAAGTGACCACTGTTGATGAGACCCTTGGTTTTAAGATTGCCTCGAATCAATTGCGCTTCGCTCCTAGTGGCGAGTCCGCAGAAAGCTGGCGCAGGAGGTGCGGTTGGATGACATTGGAGGCTTGAGCAGTGCGAAGCAGGAGAGGGCTGGGTGGGGCGTGATTGCCCAAGCCTGGGACCCAAAAGGTTCGATCAGCTTCTTCCGGATCAATGCGATCAAAGGATGTGCTCTGCGACGGTCTCCACCGGGGGCAGGTGGGGGTGTGAGATTTCATTGCATAATATCACGCCTATATAAGATCTCATAAGTGTATACATATAAAAAGTGTATATATATTTATCTGTATACATGGTTTGTCTCAGAGTTGAGGGGGTTGAGGAACCCCAATGGTCACCATCTCTTACCTTCGCTGACAGTGTTTGGATTTGGGGTGTCCATTGTGGCTGGAAAAAGACCGCGCCAGCGGCGCTGAGGAGCTCATGGATATGCTGACGATGCCCACGAAGTGCTCCGGGAACCCCCGAAAGTCCGATGCCCACAGCAGAATCATGAAGGAACAGGGTTGCTACTAGTAGCGATGCCAGGAGCCCTGTTCGTAGCTTCTTGTTCCTAGTAGTAAGCCCAGGAGCCCCGTTCGTAGCGTCCTTGCATGCCATTCTACAGGGTTTGGTTAATGTTCGTTTGCAACAATATGTGCCGACCGTTTGGAGTATTTTTGTAGTCATATTCACTGAAGGCACACGACCACAAAACGTGCTTTCAATAGAGAGTCGTGTGAAATCCAAGCGCCACTAAAGCAGGGCCACGGCAGCAACATGAAGCCTCGGCGCTGGTGTGGCTAGCGTGTATCTATGAGCGGATATGACATGATATGCCATGATATGCCTGAGAATCGCTTGAGAATTCTATGCCAAAGTGGGAAGATACTTGAGAATTCTTTGAATCGGGGAGTGGAGAGAGGTTTCGTTCAGCAAACTGCAGAAGTGAAATGTGTCCGAACAGGGGAGTCCAAACCAAGCAGAGATGAATCTTGTAGAAGTATTCTGCACATGTTTGGTGATTTCTTGTGTTTTCTTACCGTATGACATATGAATTACAACGTACACTCCCTGAAACAATCATGGTTACGTGGAAAACCACCACCTATTTGTAGAGGAAACTGGTCTTCTTTAGGATGCCATCCACGTATCCATGATGATTTCAGGGAGTGTATCCATGTACCCCTTTGATTTGCACCCCAAACCTGGCCCCAAAACCCATCGGTGGCGAGAGCAGGGAGTGACCCACCTGAGTCGTGTTCGACCACAACGAGTCCGAAAGGTATGCAGTCCTACTGGATCGGGCTCCAGTGCGCACACGCAAGGCGCGCCAGGTATGCAGGTCAGGTGTCGACCTGCCTGTGTGAACATGTACATGAGCATGATCAGAATGATTACACAAGTTACTTCTGTAAACCATGGGTAAGATCTTTGTAACTTCTGGAAGAGTTTACAGAAGTTACAGACATCGTTGACCCATCGTTGACCCTGAATGATTTGGGTTCTTCCGTTTGTCGCCGATGGGTTTTCTTTGGACGTCAAACGTGGTTTAAAATCGTCGGTCCACCGGTGAAGCACTCGATGCGCGATCGGAACCCCAGTGGAGGCTGGACGATCATATGACCATGGTGGCCGTGCGTCAAAATGCCCAAGCTCTGTGCACTCTGGTAAGTTGCTGTTGGAGTTTCCAACAACTGCAGCCTGCAGATGGTTTCTTAAAATGGAGCAGTCCCAGAGGAACGTCCAACAGGAGCTTTCTATAGTCACGTCTTTCTGAGATTCCTTCACAGTGGAGCTTGGCTCCGGAGCTGGTTCCCACGGATTCCGACGCGGAACCTGCCACGGGTTGCCCAGGGCCTCATGCTGGTGGGGCCGCCGGGCTGCGGCAAAACCATGCTGGTGCAGGCGTGCTGCGTGTCCGGAGTTGATGTTGTCCTAGCATGTCCCAGCTTAGTACTCAAGCGGCCTTCATTGGACACTTGTGGTGGATACAGGTGTTGTTTGTCCTCCCCCCTAAGAGCTACCAAACATCAAAACCAACAAAGCTGTCGGCATTTGTTCCAGAAAGACACATGTTTGACACGCTTTTATTTTGATAACCTTAGCCTGTTTTCTTTGATCAACTCCACGCAGTCCGTCCAGCGGATGTGTGAAGGACGGGAATCACGCGAGTACGTTGGTCAATCTGGTTCAGCATGTGGAGGATCTTGCAGAGCCAGTCTGCTGAGAAGAGCATCGCGGGTTTTGTGGAGCAAAAACCAAAGACTACACTCTACTACTCCCTAATCTGACAGGTCATATTTCATGTCCGTGGGTGAACACCCTGGATCTAACGCCAATGCCATCCACTACGGGCAATCCGGAGCCAGCAAGATGGAGACCTGGCGGGTGCCATGCTCTTGAGACCACTTCTCGATGTTCCCTGTGCCCTTGGCTGCGAGGCAGCAGCCCGAGAGACCAAAGGATTGTTGAGGCCAGCCCACGACACACGGTTCCTTTTTCGATGCTTGCGATGAACGGAGTGTAGACTGAAATTGTTCCATGTTTGCCCATCGAGGACCAAGAATCCTATTCTTTTTGCCATGGTGAACCAAACTGACAGCCACATGAAGCCAGAATTGGACTGCTTGAAGCAACGACTCCCCGAGATCTCGGCAGCAATCTCGGCAGGTTTTTATCTGTGAAGGGCCCTGAGCTGCTTTCCAAGTACATCGGAGAGTCCGAAGCAGGAGTGCGGAAGGCCGGAGAATATCCAGGCTGGAGGAGGCAGGCTAGACCCTCCTGTCTGGGGGCTGTTTTTGGAGTTCTGTACGTAGATGCTCACCCCTCTGAAATCCAGTGAATATGTTGGTACTCTGTGCTTTCCTTGCCTTGCACATTCAGATACCCCCGTTGCGAGGAGCTGTTTGCACCTGCTTTGGTAAGATTAGATAGAGACTACTACAAAGTCAGCCCAGTAGTTAGTTCCAATTATCACTGGACTAGGTACCCCTTATAGATTAAAAAAGGACCTGGAGCCTGCGCCTATCTTCCTCACTCTTCCTAGCTCCCCATTTTTTCTGGATAAGCCTTAACTGGGTTGTTTGTTGAACTTCGATCAGATATGATCAGATCTTCTAAATTGGTTTAAAGGGATTTAAAGGGTTCTTTTTTTTCGCAGAACCTCAAATGCCTTCCCTCCACATTTCTATTTGGGCCACACCACCGGCAGTTCGGCCTTCCAGCCCAGCGGAACGCTCCGAACCGCCGAGCCTTCGCGGTTCCCGCGGCGCGCGCGCGCGGTGCCCGCGGTTCGCCAGGTCTTCGAACGCGCCGCGGCGGCCGCCCCGGCGGTGATCTTCTTCGATGAGATCGAGGCGAAGCGTGGATTTTTCAGCGTGGACGGAGCATGGCGTGTGGAGGGAAGTTGCAGACTGCTTCAGGAAGATTGAAGATATTGAAGATCAAGCAGTTTAGTTGAAAAGTCGACATCCCTCAACATTAAACCGAAGAGGGGAGATGACATGATAACAGGTGAATGAACTTCTGATAGGTTGATGAAACATGATTGACCAGAATTCAGGGTGTCGACATATTGGGCTTCTATCTTTCGTTTGTGCTGGGAATCTCACACGTTAACAACATTCAGCTTCAGTTGCACTACCGAATTCAGCCCATGCAAGTCCACTGTCGCAGGGATCGTACCAGCAGTACAGCCCAAGAATGCAGTTCGTTTTTTTGCTTCGTGGACGCGGATATTTTCTGTCACGCTTCGGTTTCTTCCATGGAGGTACTGTATCAGTATCAAATTAAAGGTTTGCAGTTTGCATGTCTTTCCGTTATGAGTTATATTCGACTGACGCTCTTGCTTTCATGCAATGAATGTGTTCTTTTCTAAGAATGGCTTACGTGTTCATTTCGACAAGCATACGCCTGATGTTGTCCATCTAGAAGCACTTCATCTTCTCCTATTGTCATTCCCGGGCGCATAACATCGATCCAAAAATTCGGATGTGGCGCCGTGGCGAGAACGGAACAGAGAACATGAAGACACGAAATCAATCCCTTATGCCGTAGCGGCCACAGCCGTAGCGGCGCACAGCGATGTTTTACTGGCCGAGAGCCCGGCCGGTGATGGCCTCATCCCGCGGAGGCCTTGGCACCCAAGCGTGGAGGCCGTGGCTTTTCATTGTCAAGAGAGGCTTCCCGGAAGACTGGATGAAGAATGAAAGAGCATCTGGCAGAGACCCTGATGGAACCTCTACTGAGCGAGGATTGTATAGTTGAACAAAAACTTCACTCTCTTTTCTACACCCAAAGATCAAGTAAGCTAGTATATAGTAACAAAGGGCATCGCTACTAGGAGCAAGGATGCTACTAGTAGCTCCTGGCCTTACTGCTAGGAAGCTACTAGTAGCAAGAAGCTACTAGGTGGAGGCCATTGCTATTAGGT